GAACCGAGTGTTTTATACTGTAGTTACATTGTTGTAACTTGGAGCAAGCCTTGGACTAGTCACTAGTGATTTTCCAGCTCCAGTTAAAGGAACTGCAGAAATGGGGAAGGAAAAAGAGAAAGAGAGTTGAGTGCCAAGGAATGTAAGTTGCGATCTTCATTCAGCCCCAAACTTCTTTTGAGTTTTTGAAAAAAATTGCTTCTTTTCTCTGTTTATGTGTACCAAGAACAAACCACCCCTATGATTCAGTGAGTTTGGCAGGTTCTGTTGAGTATGTGGAGATCCTCAGATATAAATTGACTGAAAAGTGTGAAATAATCTAGTGTTTAAGACTAGATAGGACCATTATCATAGAGACCATTATATATTCATAGACTGATGGCACAGGGTGGGAAAGAAAAATAGATTTCAAGGCAAAATAAGTATATCTGGAGTATTTGCCTAAAACTGCTCAGGTCAAATTGATTTTGTAATAGCTGATGGAACTACCATATTTATTTATTACCATATTTATTTATTTATTTATTTATTTTTAAGTCATTAGAGTGTGCTTAATGGCTCTGCTGCTTGTATTGTGCATATAGTCCTCCCATCTTTAACTACACAGAAGCTTGCATTTTCTATCCAATAAGCTGTTCTCTGTAGGACAGCCATACTTGGCTATGGCTAAGTGCTTTGGGCTGCATTTGGGGGCAATGTTTGGTGGAGCCATCTCACTCTTGGTCATAAAAGGATAACTTTTTACTCTATATGGGTAACAGAAGCCCTAATTGGGCCCATGATCTCTCTTGTCTATGGTTTCTGTACTCATTTAATTATTTACATAGAAAATATAGCTGCCATACTTTTGGTAGTTTCTTCAGTAACTTCATGTTACTGTTGTTTTTTAACGGTAACCACTGTACCCGCCATTATTGTCTGCTATATATAATTAATTGTACTAAATGTGCTGTCTGTAGCAGACATATGCTATCATTTAGGCATAATGGTCAGAGCTCCTTAGTTTCCATTCCAGCATGTTGTCATTATAATAACCAATGGTAGCTTGAAGCCTGTGGTTTATGCCTAAACAAATGTGTTTTACTGTATCTCACTAATGCCTAACTACTGAAAATGACTTGGGTTAGTAATCATTCAGAAATCAAGGTTGTGAGGTTCCTGGAAGAGTGCAAGAAAAGATATGAAGCTGATAAATTTAAAAGAATGAGTTATCTGTTCATAGCAGAATAGCAAATATGTGTATGGAATACAGGAAAGTATGTTAGATATGAAAGTGGGGAGGAAGAATTTGGGAAGAGGTTATAAACCTTAAAATCAGCAAACAGGTGTTGTGTTTCCTTTAGGCAAATGCACAGGATACTGAGCAGATGAATCAGGAAGCAGAGTGAACCTAAATTATTTATGTTGTGGTTCTATTTGTTTTTCTCGTTTCAGATATGCAGCTTTACCATGGATGTATTTTGTGTCCAGATTCTTTTCAAGTTCAGATGTAGCCTTCATTTCTTACATCTCCTTAAATTTTGTGTTTGGTCTTTGTACCATGCTGGTGACACTCTTGCCTCGTTTGTTAGCTATAATTACCAAAACACAGGTCAGTATAAGCCCTGAGCTTTAATTTTTCCTGTAAGTGGTGTAGAAACTACTGTGTGGCCTGCTGTGTCAGGCAGAGGGGCACCTTAAAGACTTAACTCACTCTAAAAGGCATAAGCTACTGAAGACTATAACCTACTTCATCAGACGTAGCATCAGTTTGATGCTATTCATAGGCTATAAGCTTTTGTAGGTTACGAAAGTAGGTTGGAGCTACTTTCTCACACCATCCAAGGTTAATTTTTGTTTCATATGTTTACCAAAAAGTGTTTGCACTCTAATAATGGAAAAAAAAAACAGCTTTAATTGAAACTTTGATATTTTCCAGACTGTTGATTCATAATTTGCATATAATGAGAATTGTTCGGGTCTATTGAGTAGATAATATGCTTTACAAAATTGGTTTGAATAATATTAACATAAATGATAAGCTATTTTTTTCTAGGATCTGCCATTTATTGTGTGGATAATGATATGTTCATTAACACACATATGTACTTTTCATTACACTTGATAAAAATTAGGCTTGTGTATTAAGAGGAGAAGATGCACAATTAATGTTTCAAAATGCAGTAAAACCTCATAAATCCGGCTTTCAAAATTCTGGAATTATCAAAAATCCGTCATTTAAAAAAAATACAGTACACTACATTATTGCATTAAAAATAGTTTCCCAATACTCCAGAAATTTCCCCAGAAGTTCGGCACTTTTCTGGCTGCCATTGTTTTTGTTTGTCAGCCTGCAGCTGTTGTTTTGAACAATGCTCAGTCACGTGTATAGTGTAATAGCAAAGAAACTCGTCCTAAGGCTATGCACTTTCCTTATGCTTCAAAAATCCAGAATTTTCAAATTTCTGGCAGGTTCTAGGTCCCATGGATGCTGGATTTGTCAGGTTATACTATATATGTAAAAGGCTTGGCTGGGAAATTTGTTTGAATCTAGATTTGGATTATATTTTGGATTTAGATTTAATGATTTAGCAGGGGAGGAATCTGCTTTGGATTTTTTGTTATTCTGATCTGGAGAATGCAGGTTCATAGAAAAGCTGATTTAACTGGCTGTAATCCTTACATAGTCCTCCATTATGTCAACAGATTTATTATGTATAATATATTGGTGAAGTACCAAGTGTCTCCTCATACTGCACCTAATCTCTCTTAAACTGTATATCTCCCGTTCTGGTACCATGACTTTCACTTTAAATATTCTTATTGAAGAAGCTAGAAACATTTTGTTTATATATTAGATTTTTGTGAATATAACAAAATATTCACAGAAGTGATAGATAACATTTAGTGGTTTCCAGCAACTCTCTCTTCCTGTTACTATAACTGACATCAGAGATGGAATTACACTCCGACCCTTGGGGAGGTAACCTAAGTTACTGCTCAGTGATGGTGCATGTGTAGACAGGCACCCTGTGGAATAATTGTATCATGTAGCAGTAGTAGTAAACTGGCATTATCTATGAACCTCAACATGCTAGGATTCCATTGTGCTAGGAACTGTAAAATATAGAATAAGAGCTGGTTCCTAGGCCAAAGGATTGATCTGCATGTCCATCTAATAAATCTAATAAAATGTGGAGAATTAGGGCTTGATTCATATCTCAGATTGGTGGAAATAAGGATAATTTTTGTATTAAAAAACAGTGGAGTTAAAATACTGATGAGTTTAGAATAAAGCTCATAGATTTTAGGTATGACTGATTTGTTGTTATTGTTTTTTTTCTGTTTGATGGTGATTCAAAGTTTTTGCCTTTTCTCTCTTTGTCTAACCCTCCCTAAATCCGTTCCCTGCAGAGTTTTGAGAATCTCTACAGAATCTTCAAATGGGCTTTTATTGTTTTCCCCCAATTCTGCTTGGGCCAGGGTTTAATAGAACTCTCCTACAATCAAATCAAGTTTGACCTGACAAGTAATTTTGGAATTGATTCTTATGTGAATCCTTTTGAGATGAATTTCCTTGGCTGGATCTTTGTGGAAATGGCCCTGCAGGGGACAGTCCTCCTTCTCCTGCGGGTTTCCTTGCACTGGGATCTGATGCAAAAACCAAGGTTTGTTGCATCTATTATTTATACTTTGCTTTTGTGGATATTAACTAATTTCCCAAAGAAAAAGGGAAATGAAATCCTTTTGCACACTAGGAAACAGACTATATCTGATCATTATTCTGTCTGGCTCTAATGAGCTCATGTATTATAGCTTTCTATTTCTGTATCTTTATCAGTTACATATGCTGGAAAAGAGAACTTGAAAAAGTAAGTTGTGAGAGGAAACAGAGCATTTAAAATTTAATCAAACAACTGACAAAAGAAAATATAAAACTCTGTTCTAATGCTAGTAGAGTTCTAGTATCCAAAAAGAATTTTGCCAGTATAGCATCTTAGATTTTCTTTCTTTAACATTAATTCCTGGCCTCTAAGTGACCAGATATCCAGAAAAAACACACAGATAGGGAACTGTCAACCTCTATTATTTGCTTGCAGGGTTCTCTTCTGTCATTGTTCCTGTTTACTGAAAGCTAATGTGTGCGGGCCGGGAGCAGTCCGAGGCCCTCGGGGGCGCGCGGCGGGCTGTGGCCAGCAGCCCTGGCACGCGGGTCGGGGAATGCAGGCTGGCGGACTAGAATTAGGCACGAACGCTTAGCGGTTGATTAAAGATTATTTTACTTACACCGTAGATGGTCGCGGTGCAGGCAGGAAAACTTGCTTGAGTTGCAGTTACAGACAGGAAAGAAGAAAAGCGAACAAGAGTTCCTTCCATGCGAACTCTAGCCCAATCCGGTTGAAGGCTCTAAAAACGCCAGCCCGTCGTGTCAACCAAAGAAAACAACTCGGAGAAGAGCTCTGGATACATTCACACGAAGTTTGCTAGGCTCTGTGGAACTTGCGCGCAGGGAAGGGGTTCGTCGAGGGATCGTTCAGCGACGGGGAGAGGCCAGAGGTTGATCAGACCCCTATAGCCTTCTTAAGGCACGCGCTGGGTTCGATAGGCTCTGCAGCGCTTAGAGTTCTTCACAAGACATGAAGCCCTCCTCCCCCAGATGGTTGTGGAGTCCTCCCTTGCGGGGTTCTCCTCAGAGTTCTCCAACTTGGGCGGAAACCGCTCAAGCCTCTTATACGGCTAGCAAGCCAATCGCTAGCCGCCACGTGGGAATAATTTAGAACTGGCCAATAGTGGGACACAAATTTGCATGTGGGTGGCAGGAACTCCTTTGCACCGTGCATTTCTCTTTGCAACTGAGAAATGCACCCTGCAAAGAAAGCTCTGAGTGGCGGGAAATAATTTAGCAGTGCCGAAGCGCACACAAACAAAATCACACCCTTGGGTTGTGACATAATGTTGCAACGAAGTCATCTGCAAAATACTTTAGGATGGTTAACACACTTTCCTTGTGTGTGAGCTCTTGTGTAATGCAGTATGTTGCACTGACCTGTGCTCCCTAAAGCTAGATCCTGCTATATGTAATATAATATATAGATAGATATAAATAATATACAATCTGTTCCTCATCAGAGGTTGATGGACACGTAGGAGTCCTGATTATTTCCATAGGTGAAAACTTAGTAATGATTCAGTACAAAATGACCAAGTCAGCTCCCAATAGACAATCATATAATTACAGATGGCGGAAAGCCCATAGGTTTTGATACTTGCCCACTTATGCTACCCAGAGCAGAAAGGACCAACAACAGAGCAACACCTGGCAGGTTCTGGGCAGCGGCTCATGTAAAATGCTGCTTTTCCATTTCACCTTCTCTAAAAAAGCTTCCACTGTGTTTATGGGAAAAATGCCAGTGCCAGAGCATAGGAATAAAAAGAATGGCTTATTCTGTATGTTCTCCTGGCTTCCAGTCACCCCGGACTCATTACAGTTGTGGAGATTTAATGGTGTATCAGACAACATTATTTCTCATTTACATTTGGCATGGAATTGCAGAGAACACTGGGGACAGGAAGGCAACAGTACTCTATTAAAACTACTGTACTTGAAAGAGCTGTGAAGCAGCATAGGGCGTGAACATGATAGTACAACAGATTGTGAACCTTGTGGTACTTGTTTTTCATGCTCTGTTGTTGTCTTGGTACAGAAGAGTGAAAGTGTACACTCCAAGCTCTCTTTTTGTTCCTCTTTCTTGTGTAAGAGAGGGCTATTTCGGATGCACAAGACTTCTATACCCACATTACTGCTTTGCATTATAATAACGTGTTTTCTTCAGAGCTGGCCTAATTTCAGCATTAAGACCTTGCAACATTTCTAGAGCTGCTACTTCACACTCCCTGCTTCTCCGAGACAATCTTTTGAAGTGCCATGGTTCAATTTAATTTTCCATAAATAGTAAAGGTCTGAATTGTTTTTTCCTGGGCATACCTGTGCTGCTGCCTATTTATTTTGCTTGCATGTCTTCTCTTTCTTCCTTTCCCCACTAACATGCATCTACATTAGAAAAGAGCATGGCAAGTATTTCTTAAGAAGGTTTCATTTTGAGCTAACCAGGAATGTGTAACATCATTTTTGTTGTTGTTGTTTACAAACCTGTCTAGTACCTAAGTGCATTTTTCTCCCCATGCTCCCATATTGCAAGAATAGCTTCTTCTTGCATCTCACTTGAGCTTATTTTTAACTTGTAGAGAAGATTTAATGCCATATCAAAATGACCTTTCAGCCTCCCTTCACCATTCCTGTGTCCTCAAAAGAACTGAATGCAATCTCTTTCCATATAAGAAATGAAATATGGACTTTGCTCCTCAAAATTACTGGGAATTGGAAAGAGAGAATTCAGGATCAGTGCACCCATTGGATTCTATTGAGATTTGAATGCCTGAACCATAATGCAACCATAAATAGACAAGTGCTCCTTTTTAGATGCTTGTAATATAATAGGGTATAATTTGCCATTTGGTATTCATTGTGTTCTCCATTTAGGGGCCATTGTTCCATCAGCAGCATAGTCAATCCTTCAGAAGACATAGATGTAGCAATGGAACGAAAGAGGGTCTTTGGTGGAAGAACTAATAATGATAATGATGTCCTTCTGCTATATAACCTCAAAAAATTGTATCGTGGTTTCAGTAGGAGAAGCACTGCTGTGAAAGACATCAGCTTGGGGATTTCAAGGGGGGAGGTAAAAATGCTCTTTTTATTTTACCTTTCTTTACCTTTCATTACAAATTGTGTGGTCAAGAGCAATTGTTTGGGCATGTTCAGAATGTGTGAAATGAAGGCTCTGTGGTTAAGCAAAAGACTTCCAATTGTGGTAGTTTCTGAGAAACTGATAACATTAGTTGGAAATGAAAGCACGGGTGAGGGGAAAGTGATAATATTTAAGAAGCATTTTTCAGGGAATGATGATCCGCTTTTTGTCTTAAAGATTTTTTGTATGTTGCACAATTTTTCTTTTGTTTTAGCCTTACTGAGTTAAAACGTAACATGAAAAGTAAAATGCTGCCATAGCTGCTATTTTAGGTGCTGAACTCCTTAATATATCTAGTGAAACAAATCACAAGCCCAAGGCTAAATCCTGAATTGTCCCTGGGTGAAACTCACAGTGGCTTCAATACAATTCTTACCTGAGTTAAGAAAGAAAAAAAGCCAAGTGAAACTTTAAGCTTTAGCCTTCTTAGAATAGTCTCAGTATCTTCTGACTAAGCCTATGAAACTCTAACCACTGAAGGCTTTAAAATGCCAGAGCAGCATTAGCTGTTTTGTTGGGATTTTTTTCTGTTTGTTGTTTTTCCCTAATGTTCAAAGGACCATGCAGATTTAAAATTCAAAAATGAAGCAAAAATTATTTATACGTGTGACAGAGAGGAGAAGGTGGAAAACCAGTCAGAGGAGGTAGGAGTCCAGTGTGTGACATTTGGGATTTTTGAGTAGTTTGCCAGCAGCTACTTGGAAATGCCTAACCTAGAGGTTGTTATTAATAATGTAAATATATTTACCAGTTATGCCACTTCATTAAAACAAATTGAAAATAGCTCTTAATTTTAATAAAATAATTAACATGTAAGGTAAATCAAGTAAAAGGCAAGTTCTGTCATAGTATGAGCACATATTGCAGTGTACCCCAAGTGAATGCCTGAACTTCTACTCTATAGAATGGAGTGTACGTAGTTGAGTGGAGTGTACGTAGTTATTTGTTTTTACCATTGTCAAAAGGTGCTGGTGGCACCTTTATGGAGGGCAATAGTTATTGCTTTTGCTGCACACACCAAAAGTCTTCACTCCAAAACCATGCAAAAACAGCTGAGCCTTTCACTTCTCACTGGTGAACCCAACGCAAGAGACTGAGAAAGGCAGATAAATTTTGACTTCATAGCATCCATGATAGTTGGAACACTTAGCTAGGATATGGGAACTGGTTAGGGGACTTGGCTGGGTTCAAGTTTTTGTTCCAATAAATAATTTGTGCAAAGTTGGATAGTTCCACCAGGAGAGACTGGGAAACACCAGTCCAAGTGTACCCTGCAGTCTGGCAGGAGGCTTACCAGGGACATGGAAGACTTCAGTTCAGATCATTCCGGTGTCCAATTTGGAGCAAGGGTTTGAACCTAGGCCATCTTCATCTGAAGAGAAGGCACTGGACACAGGCTATTGGCTTTTTGGATTGTATGTGTGCTTTGTGCATGGGCCTCATCTTTTTTTCTTCGAAAAGCCATGAAAGTTCTCAGGTTTGTCTTAATGAGAGATTGGAATAGATTCCAACAATTGAACACATTCACAAAGTCAGAAAAAACATTTCTTACCTCACTATAAAAGTTATCTGCTTGATGGTATGTCAAATATGTAGTGGAACAAATATTCAGCTAACCCCCCAAATTGTTTTCCTGCGTGATATTGCTATGTTTAGAGGAAGCATCTTGTTTTAGCAGTAGAGTGATTGCAGTTAAGTGGATTCCAGAGCCATAGGCAGAAAACTGGTATCAAGGGCAGGTCAAGATCAGAGTTAGTCACAAAGCCATAACTCTGAAATTCCTGACACTTAAATGTTTTGTAACTTTCAGTTGCCTGAGTTTCAAATGTTTAGTTTCTTCTTCCTCTCCCTCTCTTTTTTAATATGAAGCATTCTAATAATATGTTTTTAAAATGTAATAGCATTTTATAACTGAAATTGTTATATTTTGTAGGAGAATTTCCTTAGTTACTTAGAAATGCTTTTTTAAAGCCTGGAGACCAGTTTAAGCAACTGGTATATTTTCCCCTCATAGCAAGACTGTAACAGTGCTGTGTATAAATCATTGGAACATGTATCATTGTAGTAATAGAACCAAAAGCTCTGCTAGTTAAATAAACCTCTTCCATGTACCACAGCCACTCTGCCGATGAGCCTTACAGACATGGCAGGACACCCCTTATACAGAAGTCAGCGGTTAAGTTTCTCTTTTCCTGCTTTATGAACCATGAGGGGTTGGGAAGATACCCAGTGTGTGTGCGTATGAGTGCATTTGTTCTGAGCTCAGGCACCGTCTCTAAACAGCAGACTGGAAATGACAAAATGCGTACCTTGCAAATTTTGAGTTTTTATCCCCATTTTCAAAGAACAGTGTTCAAGAAGCAGAAAACATAGGCAGTATGCATTCATTCGCCCTTAACTATCATCATCCAGAAAAAAGATGGAGTACATACATACACACAAGCCTTTACTATTTCTGCTTTTTTCTCCTTTTTTCCTTTCTTATGACTTAAAAGGAAAATACATTACTTGTATTATCATAAGTAGCTGTATATAGTTACTGAATAGGACTGTCAAAGAAACCTGGCTTTAAGTTGTTTGGGCACTTTTGGCATTGTTCACCAATGATCAGAATTACTTTTATGCTGCACTGCTTTTTCCTTTAATTTCACTGAATTCCTTTTTCAAGGAGCCTAAAGAAGTCTGAAATTATTTTTGTCACTTCTGTGTATGCATGAGTATGTGTATATGCATATAGATTTATATCCTTACAAATAATCTATCCAAGTGTAAAGAATGATTAAATATTTATACTGTTAGCTACAATACCTTTACAAATATAATGATTGTATTGGTGTATGTTTTCTATGCTAGTGCTTTGGACTGCTTGGTACAAATGGAGCCGGGAAAAGTACAACGTTTAAGATGCTGACTGGAGACATCACCCCCACCGCAGGGTGTGCTATGGTCAGGACCCCAACAGGGTAAATATTGCAAAGCTTGATCAGAATATTGCTACTTGGCTGAGTTAACGATCAAAACTTAGGGAGCCTCAGCATGCCTCCTAGCCTTTTGTATTATATTGCAAAGAATGGTTTTGTACTTTTCAAATTTACACTTTTATTATTACAGTCTCCAGCAGGGTGGGAGCTCTTTTAAAGCCAGCTGTTTGGGTTAAGCAGTTTAGCATTATTTAATTCCAACTAGCAGCTCAGTTAATTGGAAATGGATTTGCTCAATAGCAATTGAGTGGGAGGTAGGAAATGTCACCATGTATTTCTACAGGTATATACACCAATCTCTTGAAATCAATTCCATACTGAATGGTTTTCACTGTGCAGCTGATGAGTAGTATTCATTTAGGATCATTTTTAAATGTTCTGTAAAACCCCCATGTTTCTTAATTAATCATCATGTGGAGAGGTGATCAGTGAGAGAAGGGATATTCCATGGCAAAAGGATATCATTTGTGCCTTTGTGTATTTGTTAATTTGAGCTATGGAGCTGGGTGACCAATAGATTTTTTTGTTTCAGTGGCTGAAGTAAAAAATTAGATATAAAAATATCAGCATGGATCAAATTGAAACAATTTTCCCTGTTTTTTTTTTTAACAAAATGAAAAACACAAATATTATGTTGTGGGTCAGTCTGAAATATCAAAGTCATCCCAAAACAAAAATGTTCCTTTTTTATTATTTCACTCAACCTGTTCCCAATCTTTCTCGGTTAGGTCATACTTTAAATAGATAGTTTACATTTTCTTTTTTCTTTTTTTTAATGTTGAAATGAAATGTGGCAGTACTCTGAAATGAAACATTTTGTTTGAGAATGTGGAAAAGCAGTCTTTTAACATTATAAAAAAGTTTTACCATTTTTCTCATCAAAAATGATTAGGCAAATTTGACCTGAATTCATGAATAGTTTCAGTCCCTTCAGAGCTCCATTTTTATTGCTATTCATCAAAAACATTCCCCAAATGCACTTTATTGCCTTCATTATGGTGCTTATCATTTGCAACATTTTTTTCCAGAGAATAAACAAAAAATGTAAAAAAACAAACAAACACAAAAGCATAGCTTGTATGGCAAGTGTAAGAAAAGATTATGACAAAAGATCGAGATATAAGGTAAGCTGAAATGGGTGCTTTCATTTATAACCTTTCATAATGCAAGGGGGGGAAAAGTGCCCAAACAGGCTGGTAAAAAAACCCCACCAAACTAAATAGGAAATGCCACCAAAAAATATGATACAGTTACATGTGGACGAATGGAAGAAGGGAGCTGGATAGGGTTGGTAACAGTCAGAAACATTTCCCAAATCAAGGAAGTTCTGAACTGTGTTGGTAGTTGCAGCTTCGCTAAACAGTTATTGAAAATGGAATGGCTGTGACCAAGTCCCTGCTCTTCGGCAGCCATACTTTAAGTTAGTGTTTAGAGGCAAAAAGAGCATGAAAGTTCACTGAGTCATGGAAATGGGTTTTTTTGCTCCTGTGAAAGATGCTGTTCTAAGGATTCTGTGCACTCAGTAGCTTGTGTTGCATCAGGAAGGTCAAATGAACTTTCAGAAATCTTTTCTTCCCTGAGCTTAAAGTTTTGTTTCTGAAGAATAAATATGTGAGGCAAACAAATGAGGAAAGGTGTCTGAATACTATTTATTTATGAGTATAGATCCTGGGCTAGTGCAAGGCATGTATGTTATACCTAGCTCTGCGTTGGAGGGAAAAATGAACTGGAAGTGGCTGTAAGGAGCCCTTCCCTTTCCTTGCCTACCTGAGGCTGCCCAAAGCCCAGACATTTCTGGTGCACAGGAACTAGGAGAATCAGTTGGAGACCTCTAATATCCCCCAAGGGAGCAGGAGAGAACCTTTGCTTTGCTCTCCACTTTACTGGCTAGGATAGCTGGTCCTATGTATGGGGAAACCCATGCCAGAAGCAGTGGTGGTAAGAGTTGGCTGTGACCACTGTGAGCAGGCAGTGATGAACAAATTTAGCAATTTCTTAAAGGCCTGATTCATTAGTAGTGGGAATAGTAGTAACTGAGAGCAATGAGTTTTGGAAGGTCATGGTGTAGGATGGGGGTTTTTCCTTTGTGCTGTTGTATTACAATACCTTCATACAATTAAAACCGAAGTTATGGTCTTATGAAGAGAGACTGAGAGCCATGGGACTCTTCAGCCTGGAAAAGTGCAGGCTCATGGGGACCTGGTGGCTGCTTATAAGTACATAAGGGGTGTACATCAGGACCTGGGAGAAAGTCTGTTTACTAGAGTGCCCCAATGAAAAACGAGGATCAACAATCATAAACTCCTCCAAGACTGTTTTAGGCTGGACATAAGAAAAAATTTCTTTACTGTCCGATACCCCAAGACTTGGAATACACTCCCTTCCGATGTGGTGCAGGCACCTACTCTGGACTCATTTAAGAAACGCTTGGATGCTTATCTTGCTGGGATCCTTTGACCCTAGCTGACTTCCTGCCCCTGGGGCAGGGGGCTGGACTTGATGATCTTTGAGGTCCCTTCCAGTCCTAAAGTCTTTGAAATCTATGAAAAAATGACCTATGAGTTTGGGAGCCTTAAATTCAAGATTCCCAGTTGTGGTACCTTGAAGAAGCCTGGTTTTCAGAAAGTGTTCTATACCCACTTTCTCAATATAAAGTCCCTTTCAGGGACCAAAAGACAATAGGGAAACTTGAAACTTCCTACCTTTTGGATTTGGTTTGGATTTGGTTCAAACTTCTTACCTTTTGGATAAATTAAGCCTGCTGGGGGATGGGGACACTACCACCACTTCTGGCCCACTGAGCAACCCTTGCAAAGCCAGCAGGCCAGGGCACTTAAGGGAGCCCACCCCTGCCCCAGCCCTGGAGCAAGTTGCAGGCAAGGCAAGGGCCCCCAAAGGGACACTTGCCTGTCTGTACACAAATGCCAGGAGCTTGGGGACTAAAGAGGAGGAACTTGTCCTTCTGCTTAACGCAAATAATTATGATGTCATAGGGATAACGGAGACCTGGTGGGACTCCACCCATGACTGGACCACAGGTATAGATGTCTACACCCTGTACAGGAGGGATCAAGTGGACAAAAGGGGCAGGGGTGTAGCTCTCTATGTCAAGGAAAGCTATGCATCCCTGCAAGCCGACATTGGCACCCAGGGTAGACGACTAGAGACCCTCTGGGTTAAAATCCATGGGGAACACGGCACAGGAGACACAATGGTGGGAGTCTACTACAGACCTCTGACCCAGGATCAAGAGCTTGACCAGGAGTTCACCAGGGAATTGGCTGAGGCTGCATACTCCCGGTGCATGGTTGTCATGGGAGACTTCAAATACCCAGACATCGTGTGGGAAGAGCGCTCAGCCAAATCCGAGAGGTCACAAAACTTGCTCTCGTGCATGGATGAGCTCTATCTGACACAAGAAGTCAATGGGCCGACAAGAGGTAAAGCACTGCTTGACCTGGTTCGGACAACGGGGGACGACTTAATCAGCGACCTAATGATCGAAGGCAAGCTGGGTGACAGTGATCATGAGCTGATCAACTTCACCATCTGCCGTAAAGCTGCCAAGTCAGTGAGCAATACAGAAGTCCTCGACTTCAGGAAAGCTGACTTTGACAAGCTCAGGAGGCTTGTCAGAGAGGCCCTAAAGGGCCACAACCCAAAGGGGAGGGGAGTTCAGGACAAGTGGTTCTTCCTCAAGGGAGCGATCCTGGATGCACAAGCAAAGTCTATCCCATTTCGGAGGAAAGGCAGCAAAAGGCCACAGCAGCCCCTTTGGCTCTCTAGGGAACTAGCAGACCTCTGGAATCTACAAAGACAAACCTACAAAGGATGGAAGACTGGATCCACCTCCAAGGAGGAATACTCTGCACTGGTCTGGACCTGCAGGGAGCAGTAAATCCCAGGATGTCATTCTCCTGTTGTAGTCGGCCTTGGTGAGGCCACAGCTTGAGTACTGCATCCAGTTTTGGGCTCCACAATTCAAAAAGGATGTGGAGAAGCTTGAGAGGGTGCAGAGGAGAGCCATGTGCATGGTCAGAGGGCAGGAAAGCAGACCTTATGAAGAGAGGCTGATAGCTATGGGAGTCTTCAGCCTGGAAAAGCATAGCCTCAGAGGTGATCTGATGGCCACCTATAAGATTATCAGGGGTGCTTATCAGGATCTGGGGGAACATCTGTTCACCAGAGCGCCACAAGGAATGACAAGGTTGAATGGTCACAAACTCCTTCATGACCATTTCAGGCTGGACATAAAACAAATTGAAAATAGCTGTTAATTTCAATAAAACAATTAACATGTACGGTAAAGCAAGTAAAAAGCAAGTTCTGCCATAGTATGAGCACATATTGCAGTGTACCCCAGGTGAATGCCTGAACTTCTACTCTGTAGAGTGGAGTGTACGTAGTTGGGTGGAGTGTACGTAGTTATTTGTTTTTACCACTGTCAAAAGGTGCTGGTGGCACCATTATGGAGGGCAGTAGTTATTGCTTTTGCTGCACACACCCAAAGTCCTCACTCCAAGACCATGCAAAAACTGCTGAA